GGTGGACCTACCCGGTGCTCTCCGGCACCTTGAGCTCCCAGGGCAACATAGCGGGCGTACATTAATGACATGTTTCGAAACTTGCATAATTTTAATGGCATGGATCTAATTAACCATATTTTTTAAGAGTGCGCTAGGAATCGTATTCCAGACGTATGAGGGTTGTCATGTATGACTTGTATATTATCTTTCGTGAAAAAGGAAAAAAATACACGAGGAGTTGCTTTTCCTGTCAATGTTTGTTTGTGTAATGTTGTTATACTTTGAATAGTCAACCATTTGGATTGATGCTAGTGGTGCTTTGGTGTTGTGAAATGTAGCCCTTCTTTCTGTCGAAGGTAGTCCAGTAGTAGTGGATGTTTGAAGAGAGAAAAAAATGTGTGGCCGGCTGATGAAGGACAAATGGAGGAAGGGGCTAGAAGAATGGTACTACTGGAAGGGACTAGAAGGAAGGAAGTGGGGGGTGCGTGGGCCCATGGGCCTGTGTGGCGATGACGATAAAGGATGAGGCTCGCTGCTGGAGTGGAGTGGTGGACTGGTGGCTGCAGCTGTTCCTCATCGCCATTCCAATCCAATCCAATGGCGCTCACCAACCACATCCTCGCGCCGGCAGCCGCAGCAGCCTGCTGCTTCGGACGGCGGGTTCCTCTGCCGCCGCCTCATCAGCTCGCCGTGCGGAGGAAGCAAAAGAGCGTGGTGGTGGCCATGGCCGACCTGCTGGGCGACTTTGGCGCGCGCGACCCCTTCCCGGAGGAGATCGAGAGCAACTTCGGCGAGAGGGTGCTGGGCAACGTCGACACCCTCCACAACATCCTCATCCCCACGCTCTCCGTGCTCTCCATCGCGCGCCTCCCCCTCGAGCCTAACCCCGCGCCCGTCGACGCTGCCGACGCCCGCCGCCTCCTCCACAAGGTGGTTGGCTGGCGCCTCCTCGACGACGCCGACGGCATGCGTCTGCAGTGCGTCTGGAAGGTCAGGGACGAAGCCTGCGGCCACGAGCTCGTCGCCAGGATCAACGCCGCGGTTGACGGCGCCCCGGCCACCGTCGTCTTCGAGGCCCCCAACCAGGTCAGGGCCGAGCTGCAGACGCCCTCCGCCGGCGGCCTCACCGTCAATGACTTCATCGTCGCGGCTCGCATAGACAAGGTCAAGACGGTCGACCTTATCCCCAAGAAGAGAGTCTGGGCCTGATTCTTCATTCACATATATCCCCTTAATCAATCAATCAACCAATCAATCAATTAGTAGTATCTTTTTTTTGGCTTTCAATCGCTTGTGGAGTAGTACACTACTACGGAGTAGTTGTTGTTTTGAATTTATAAAATATTTAGTAGTCTTTCAAAGCAAAGGCACCGGCAGAATTTGTGCCCAAAACCAAAAAACAAATAAAAAGGGATGATATGATATTAAATTTATGGGTATTGGCTCTGTTGGGGAGCCTTGGCTGCAGCAGCCGCAGCCGCAGCCGCAACCAGAGCTGGATTATTGTTGACGTTGACGAGGCAGGTGATAGCCTTAGCTATGATGGCGATCTGGATGGTGTCGGCGGTGAGCTGGGCCAGCGGCTGCTGCAGCGGGACGCCGATCTTGGCGAAGGCGGCGTTGCACTTCTGCGTCAGGGACAGGGCCTCGTCCAGCTTCTTCTCCCCGACGTCGTAGGCGCGATTGTTGATCACGTCGTGCGCGCTGGCAAAGGCGAAGCCCACGCCCCGGTACTGCTTCGCGCACTCCGCCAGCGCTGGCTTGATGCCCGCCGTGCTTGCCCCGGCCTCTAGCTCCTTTATGTCATCGGCGGCGAGGTCCGCCTTGTCCACGCCCACCAGGGTTGCCGCCTTCGCAAGCCCCCACGCGTCCGCGTCGCGGTGGTGCCCCAGCTGCGACAGGCACATCGCCAAGTGGACGCGCTTGTCGCTGGCGGCCGCGTCACTGCAGGTGCTCTCCACCGTCGCGTCCACGCCCATAGCGGCCGCGCTCAGGCTCACGGAGATGGCCACCACGGCGGCGAGGGCCTTGCTCATTCTCATTCTTGCTCTCCTCCTTTTTCTTTCTATCTGTGAGCATCTATTTTTTTGTTTTTTTTTGGGTTTTAAACAAGACATGTGTGGACGAACACCCATGTATAGATGGAGAGATCCACGCGGGCGCCAACAAGTGTGTGGTCGCATGCGGCAGCCCGCCCAAGGGCACTCCCGCCAATTTAGGCACTACTAATTTTGTTTTCTTCTCAAACGAATTCAACAAGCACAAAAACCATACATCATTTAAATTATTACTTTGCGACATAAAAAGTATCAACTCTCTAAATGCCACTTTTAAATTTGTAAAAAGGTCCAAATACCCTCCGAATAAAAACTTTCGATAAAAATCCGTTTACCACCTTAAAATTTAAAATTGGACGCCAATCCTTGCTATACCATTCGTATTACCCGTAGGATGATTTTGCATATTAATATATTTTACGTATCTCATCCATTTATATCATAGCGATGTCACACTTTTATTATATTGGTACTCTTCTATAAGTCAGTGAGCAAGGAAGTGAAAAGAAATATTTAAATAAAGATTTTACCATATATGCACAATGTGTATGTCACGTCATCAAACTTATCCAACGTACATATAAATTTGATAAAAAAAACACTTTGCAAACCCGTCTTAGGAGTTTATATGAATGGTAGTGCAAAGTTTGGAAGTTAAATATCCGGTTTAAAGTTTAGGTGCTAAATGGACTTCGAATTAATGTTTTTTTGTGAGGGGGGAGGGGGTTGGGTATTTGGACTTATTCCTTTACGTTTTTATCGTTGGACAAATAAGAGTTCTTAATATATTTTTTGCCACTCTTGTCTATGTGGCATGACACATCTACGTGTCAGCATGGATTGGTGATACGAAATGACTGTTTTACCCTTGGTAGGTTCTTTCTCCCTCATTTCCCTTCTTTTCTTGTCGCGCGTACGTTAGTTGGTAATTTCCTTCAGGGGCGATTGCAATACAACTGAATGGGCTCATCTTCTTCTTCCTCCTTAACCTTGTTACTCTTCCTCTTCTACCCTCTCCATTCTCTCCTTGTAAGACTATAGTTGAATTAATAGAATTATCTTTTTTTTTACCTTCCTGTGTTTATAATTCATATACTACTTTAGTAGTTATATGCTTTATAAATATAATATACTTTATTTACATGTTTCACTTGATTAGACTAGTCATCTATGGTACGATAACGATCCAATGACCTTGATGGGCTGTTCTAGCTTTAACTTGTCCATCCATATAGTGGGAGTTCTAGGGGAATTAATGTCATTATTTACTAGCATAAGTATGGTGCTTAGATAAATGCCATTGGATGCAGATATGTCCCATGAAAAGTGAGGCCAATCCGTCCTTTGTACTCCTCCAATTCGGGTATGACGTAAGAGTGCGTAAATTCTATAACCACGCTGGCAGATCAGCAGGGAGTATTCTCTCGGTAGTACATGGGTGCCTATAACTAAGTCCTAGCCTTGTAAGCTTGTATGTGTTAAGTGTATACTTAGACATTAGGAATATAGAAGTACAATTATATCATAGTTCTCTTATGTCCTTTTTCACTATACTAATTATTTAGAAATGAATCTTTTGTGTGCCACATATTTCTATTTTTAACCGGAATGAAAAAGTTCAAAAAACACCAAAACATGATTTTTGGATATATTAGAATGTATTGGGTGCATTCGTGGCAAAAACTCACTTCGTGACTCGCGAGGTGAACTTTTGTCAATTAATGTCGATATTGGCACACGCGGGTGCGATGTTATATACCGGAATCAAAAAGTTCAAAAAGTATAAAAACATGATTTTTGGACATATTGGAGTGTATTGGGTGCGTTCGTGGCAAAAACTCACTTCGTGACTCGCGCGACGAACTTTTATCAATTAATGCCGATATTGGCACACGTGGGTGTGTTGTTTTTATCTGGAATGAAAAAGTTCAAAAAGCACCAAAACATGATTTTTGGACATATTGGAGTGTACTGGGTGCGTTCGTGGCAAAAACTCATTTCGTGACTTGGCAATAGAAGCATCCGGATAATAGAGGTGGATTTTGATATTTTAGAAGTTGTCTCTATAGTCTAGGGAAGTTAAGTAAAATTTTGATCATATATGTGAATGGATCAATATGTCTCGGGACTAAAATATATCTAAACGAAATCTTAGTTAAATTATAAGATTCCGACATTTACACTATGGTGGGTTAATTATAGATTGATTTATGATGTATAAACTATATCTTTACAACGCCACCTTCTCTGCAGAAACATACATATGATAGGAAGAGATCGACAGGAGACCCCACAGGATTGCGCAGTGGTGAAAACGGGAGCACAGTAGGGATCGATGGCGATTGGACTCCACAAGGAGATCTTGATGACGTGCGCGGAGAGTGCGACGATGCTGCCATCACTGATCTGGCTCTGGCCAACACGTCACGACACGAGCGAAAACTGGAGGGGGCAGGCGCGGTACGGAGTAAATACGTATTATCCGCATCCGTTAGATTTGTCCAATGATGAATGAGTAAATAGACTTTGTGAATTATAGAGCAGATGATGCTGTCTCTCTCCATATCTTCATTTTTTTTTCTTTCTTCTTTCTTGTTAGTGGACGTCACAGCCTCTCGTGGCCTTGGAGCCCAGCGCAGACATGAGAAGAGCCTGGCCTTCAACGATTTGGTAAAGTCTGATACAACTCCCTCAAATCCCTCATTCGCTAAAATGGGTATATGAACCACTCGAACCGTATAAAAATGACTCACTCGGTGGTGGTGGTATTGATGGTTTTTACTAACGTGGCGTCCACATGACAGCCGTTATTAAAGAAAAGGATGCCACGTTAGAGAAAATAACTATCGAAATAGTAAGGGAGGAGTGTTATGTCGGTTTTGGGGTTGAGGATACAAATATTTAGGGAGTCCAATTGGACCTTTTCCTCAACAAAACTTTGTAATCAAATCCAAGACCAACCCAGTCCAGGCTCCAGCCCAGCATCCCGTCGACTCGATGATATACCAGCAAAAGGGGCAAGTGTGAGCAGGCGGCGGCGGAGCCATGCCGATGCCGTCGCGGGCGCGGCGCAGGTCCAAATCCCGGTGGCCTCTCGGCGAGCCCCCTCCCGGCCTCTTCCCCGCTAGGGACGACCTCCTCCGCCTGCTCGCCGTCGTCTCCATCGCCGCCGCAGCAGCCGCTGCCTGCAGCCTTCTCAACCGCCGCCCCAAACCCTTGTGCGACAGCGGCGGCGCCGCCTATACCCACCATGGTGACTCACTCACTCACTGCTTTCTCGATCTCTCGCGCGTATTCCGTTTCTTTTCCTTTGGCTAGCTGTAGCTGATTATACTAATAATACGCAGATTCATGCCAACCATGCCCTCCCCATGGACGATGCGTAGACGGAAACCTGGAGTGCGTCCAGGGATTCAACAAATATGGCAACCTGTGCATAGAGGATGGGCTGGTCAGCCAAACTGCTACCAAGATTGTACTGCCCCTTTGCTTGCTCTCTTGTTCCTTTCCCTCTCATTTTGCTATGCATACCTTCCTTTTACTGCTTCTCCACATATCTCTATATAGTCACAGTTGCTAGAGCGGAGGATCTGCGATCAATATGCCCGTGCTTTATGTGGCCAACCTGCCAAAATCTTGGTCTGTTTTCGTTTTACTGCTCCCCATCCTCATCTTCTTCATTACGACTATGTCCCCCCCCCCTGCTTTCCATGCCCTCATCCTCGTGTACTTCTGTTGCCTCGCTTTCAGTTCCAAGAGCTCGATATCTTAAACATGGCTGATGAGCTGTTATCCAAGGGTTTTGTTGGCCTAAGTCAGGATGGAGCTAAGGTTGCAAAAATTAAGGTTCTGGACAGTGCGCGGGCCTTCTTTGAGAAAACATTCAGCTCCGACGGGTATGCTTCACCACTACTTCTCCCCCTATCTCTGACTATATGTACGCTCTCTTTACGTATGTGCTGTTTCCCCTTTCTTGTTTAGAGTCGAAGAGTTTAAATGTCCAGACCTGGTTGCCGAGCTTTATAGGCCCCTGACCTGTCAAATTCGGCAATGGATCTCAAGAAATATCATGTCTGTGACAGCCTTTGGTGTCCTGGTACGTCTATAGCATTACCATCTTAGTCATGCAGTTTGCTTAAAGGCAGTTCAATTGATTATTGTACCCAAGTTTTCAGCACTGCTCTGGATTCTTTGGACTATTTACAAGAGACAAGCATTATCAAAGAGGGCCGAACAAATATATGCTCAGGTATGAAATTCCTCTCTCTCTCTCTCTCTCTCACTCACACACACACACACACACAATTCTTCCAGTTCTTTATCCCATGACGAAGGGTTATTTGCTGCTAATTTGCATAAAACGACGAAGTCTGATTAACCGTATAGTAAACGTTGTTCTTGCTGTAAGCTATAGCTGTTATTGTTTTTTGTTGGCAAAATTTGATTGGAGTTACTGCAGTACTAGCATTCACTTTTCTGGCGCAATTCACTAGTACGTCAGCAGTTCCACCATCTCTTTCACCTTTTCCAAGCATGAGGGAGGTGGTGGCTGTGGGGAAAGGTGGATACTTTCCTTTGTCCAAAAAACAGTAGTAAATCATTTGTTTGTTGCATTTTAATTTTTCCATAACTTCTTTGGACCTTCTTGTATTTGTCTTTTGCCTGTTCTCATACAATAGGTGTGTGAGGTCCTTGAAGATAATGCCATAGATGCAAAGATTGGCAACTCTGAATGTGAGCCTTGGGTGGTCACGTCTTGGCTGCGAGATCATCTGCTAGTCCCACAAGAGAGAAGGAATGCTTTCCTTTGGAAGAAGGTAATTACTTTGCAGTATATTCCACTCAATACATAGATTTTGACCTGTATTGATTAGCATTACCCAAATTCGAATTCTTAAAGGAAAGTTCCATGGAGCTACAATTTTTCTGTACATGTTTTATATTAGTAGATGAAAGTACGTCATATTTTCGAGCATCTGAAGCAATAATTCAAACATTTAAAATGTTTAGAAGCAACGTTTAAACAATGGGGCACAATAAAATTCAATAAATTTGGTTTCTTTGGATAACCGATTAGGTTACTGTGTAGTATTTGAGAAGACACTTGTACGCGTTACATTTTATTTTTTGATGGCGACAAGTTAAATTTCACATTTTTAGTCCTAGGTGTTCATCATTACCTACACAGCTTTTTCTTCGGTTGCTCCCATGGTATTTTGTTCTTTGACCACCGTCGCTGTTGGTTCAGTACACGTAATTTTCAGTTAAAAATGCTGTTGAGGGAATGGCTCAAGCAGCGCAACGTTGCAGCTTTATTTCTGAGTAGAAAGTTGACATGAGTCTCATCTTTAACTTATCAAAACTTGACTACTAAAAGGAAGCGTTGAGTGGGCATTAATCTTCTCATGATCATGTTTGCATTGAAAGATTAGTGTCTAGTACTAGTTTCTTGATGATGTGGAGTTTATGAAAACTATCCCTAGTGTCTTGGGTTGGAACTGGCCTTATATGGCACTAGAAGTATCTTGGGAAAAGGAGAAACACACTGCCCCTAATTTATTGACAAGTGCATTGTCCTAGGCTCAATATATGTACTAGTATATGGGCATAATAGAGAAGTAAAAAAATTGCCTCAGCAAGTCGTAGCCTCATTGGTCTAACCTTGTAATTTATATAGCTCTGCTGCTGAAAATTTGTCATTTCACTCTCCATTGTTGGTAAACTAATTTCCCTTTCTCTGTTGTATTGTGGCATAGGTGGAAGAACTAATACTGGAAGATTCTCGCATAGATCAATACCCGAAAGTGGTCAAGGGAGAGTCGAAAGTTGTTTATGAGTGGCAAGGTACAAACATGGCTCCTGCTTTATTAGTTCCACCAACTAATAAAGCAGAGAAGTATTGACCTGTTTGACAGATAATGTGGTGCTATTTTTATTTCGTCGAGTATGCTATCTTATTAGATGTTGTTTTGTGGTTATATACTTATATTGGTGTGTTTGCTTGCAGCGAGCGGCTCGCTCAGTGGAAAGAAAAAGGTTAAGAAGATGCAAGGTGTAGCAGCAGGCAAGTCAAGAGCCGATGGTGCAGCTGGCGGCGCCATAAAACTTGCTGAAGAACTGGATGCAGGCTAGCTAGAGCTGCCATGCGTTATGTATGTACAAATGTTTCTCAAGCTACTAGGAGAGTATATATCATGATGTATGCTTGGAATGTACTAAATTAATTGAGTTAATGGAGTACGTGGTGTATATGTATATGAATGGTCACTGGAAGATGCTACTGACAGAGCAGTCGTCGTGAACGCGCCAGATGGTCTCGCCGAGGAGATTGGCGACGGAGAGGACGGTGAGCTGGGGGAAGGTCCGGTGGTGAAGCACGGGGACGGTGTTGGTGACGATCACCTCCTGGAAGAGGCCGCTGGAGAGCCTGTCGACGGCGGGCGGGCTGAGCACGGCGTGGGTGCTGCAGGCGTAGACGGCCCTGGCGCCCTCCCTGTGCAGCAGCTCCGCTCCCTGGGACACCGTCCCCGCAGTGTCGATCATGTCGTCCACCATCACCGCCACCTTCCCCCTGACGTCGCCGATGAGGTGCACCACCTCCGACTGGTTGTGCCCCTGCCGCCGCTTGTCCACGATGGCCAGCGGCGCGTCCGACAGCTTCTTGGCGAAGGTGCGGGCCCGGGCGACGCCACCCACGTCCGGGGACACCACCACCACCTCGTCGGGGCAGATGGTCTTGCTGGCCAGGTAGTCCAGGATCACCGGCTGCCCGTACACATGGTCCACGGGGATGTCGAAGTAGCCGATGGACTGCCCCGAGTGGAGGTCGCAGGCCAGCACGCGGTGGGCGCCGGCCTCCGTGATGAGGTTGGCCACCAGCTTGGCGGCGATCGACTCCCGGCCGCCGCGCATCTTGCGGTCGGCGCGGGCGTACCCGAAGTAGGGCACGACGGCGGTGATGGTCTTGGCGGAGGCGCGGCGGCATGCGTCGATCATGATGAGGAGCTCCATCAGGTTCTCGTTTGCCGGCGGGCAGGTGGGCTGCACCAGGAACACGTCGCACCCACGCACGCTCTCCTGCAGCTGCACGTACAGCTCCCCGTCCGCGAACCGCTTGATCTTCACCCTCCCCAGCTCCATCCCCAGGTAGCACGCCACCTCCTGCGCCAGCCTCGGGTTCGCCGTGCCGGAGAAGATGCGCAGCCGACCACCGCTAGAGCTCGCCTGCGCCTGCGATAGCGCTGGCACCGGGACCACGTCCGAGTACTGCCTGCCGCCGTAGGCCCCAGCCCCAGCCCCAGCCCCAACTGGAAGCAACAATCCCCTCTTTGACCTGCTGCTGCCACTGCTACTGCTGGTGGTGCCATGGCCGGCAAGCGAGCACGGCGCCGAAATCTTGACGAAGAAGGCCATGGCCAACCACCGACGTATCCTCTCCACACAGCAGCATCTCGGTCGGATAAGAATCTATTATATTATTAAAGAAATAGAAAAATGAGCTTCCACGTTCGTTCGCATGGCCTAGAAATTCTCACATTAATCGGAGAAAAAGAAAAAGCAGAATCCATATAGAAATACAATTAGGAAATAACTGAAATTCGGAATTAAAAAATAAAAAATATTAGAAGAGGAGACTAGAGTCAATATAGAAATACAATTAGGAAATAGTTGAAATTCGGAATTAAAAAATAAAGAATATTAGAAGAGGAGACTAGAGTCCATATAGAAATACAATTAGGAAATAACTGAAATTCTGAATTAAAAAAAAGGAATATTAAAAGATGAGACTAGAGTTCATATAGAAATACAATTAGGAAATACCTGAAATTCAGAATTAAAAATAAGAAATATTAGAAGTAGAGTATAGAGTCCATATAGAAATGCAATTAGGAAATAATATAAATTTGTAATTAAAAATAAGAAATATTAGAAGTAGAGTATAGAGTTCATATAGAAATACAATTAGGAAATAATATAAATTTGTAATTAAAAATAAGAAATATTAGAAGTAGAGTATAGAGTTCATATAGGAATTTAAAACTAACTAAAATTTGGAATAAACATAATAAAATTAAAAGTAGAGTTTAGAGTCCGTATAAAAATATAATTTACAAGTAACTAAAATTTGAAATTAAGAAAAACATGGGAAGAAGAGTTTAAAGTCAATATAGGAATACAAATATAGGAATACAATTTAGAAGTAACTAAAATTCAAAATTAAAAATTAAAGAATATTGAAAGATGAGTTTAGATTCCACATAGAAATACAATTAGAAATAATAAAAATTCAGAAATAAAATAAATAATATTGAAAGAAGAGTATAGAGTTTATATAGAAATACAATTTACAGAAAATTCGGAATTAAAAAAAAAGAAATATTAAAAGACGAGTCTAGAGTCTATATAGGAATATATATAATTTACAACTAACTAAAATTTGATATTAAAAATAATTAATAACTAACACATATATAAAATATAATATGAATATTACACATTAGTAGTTTTTGTAAAGTTATTGCAAAATTTAAAATTATGTTGTCATTTCAATATATTTGAATAATATAATGAGAAAACATATATACTATTATATGAGAGAAAATATAATGATGCTAGCCGCGCAATCTGCGCGGGCCACCATGCTAGTTAACATAAAGACGATGAGAACATCCACTGCGCTTGAGGCCGGCCCACCAAGCTTCTGCCTCGCATATATTGATCTTTTGTCATTTTTCTTTTAGAAAAAAGAGAAACTCATAACTATTTTGTTATCACGCATGAAACGAGACACGCACCTTTTGTCACTATCATTTTTTTGCTTATGCTTATACTTATCAGCCTTGAATTTCAACTTTAAATTTAGAGTTGATTTTGAAGGTTTTTTATTGAAGTTTATTTTTCAGCATTTGCTTTTAGATCACTAAAAACACGCATATAAAAATTCTATTCACATATTATTTTTCGTTTGCAAATATGCTGTTTGATGGCACCCATATGTAAAATGACTTTCCTCCAAATCTACTACATTCTTTCCCAAAATAATTGCAATTCTAGATTGTTTAGCATATATTAAGGTTTAAGAAGAAAGACTAAGGTGTCCCTAATTAAATGTGTATAGGTAATAAAATGGTTGAAGGTAGAATTTTTTTTTAATAATGGATTAAACCGGCTTCTATATCTGTTGAAGGTAGAATAGGAAGAAATTCAAATCAAAAGTGATTAATGGGATAGTTAATTAGTACTCTATTGTTGGGAAAAATTTGAATCCTAAAAATATAATTATTATGGGACGGAGGTAGTACGATATATGCATTAGCATTTCCTTTCCTAGCCACATATACAGGGATTATCCCATGAAAACCATCGAATAGATGAAGACTAGACTAAAATTTTCCTAAATTCATTAAAAAAAGTACAAGAGACAAGTATATATAGGAATGAACTACATTTCTAACAAATCACAAGTCCAAACTCATTTGCATTTGGGAGGAAAAAAATTAAGATGGCCAAACATCGTCGCTTCTTGTTGTAATGGTTAGGAGATGGGGCCGGTGGCGTGTCACGCCACTGGAGACGAAGAAGGGCAGGGCAGGATATCCGCGCCGGATTTGAGGAAGAGTGATAGTATGGCGCCAAGGTGTGACGGAGTATCGGATAGGGAGGCATGCGACAGTCGCATGGGACGAGATTCGGGAGCTGCACGAATCTTGGAACAATCTCGACCGTTCAAAAGTGAATGATATTTTCTTAGAAAATAAATCAGCGGGCTGATGAATATAGACAGCCGCTATATATATACATGAACCGCATAAGGAAATGCACAAACAACACTTGCTTTCCAGCTGCGCTTCTAACAAAAGAAAACAAGAACATATTACTGATGCAACGAAAAGAACTCAGCCATCTCTCTTCCGCGTATACCAGGATTCAGTGAACCCAGAAAGGACTCAGCACTCCAAAAGGGAAAGTACTAGTCACTATTCGTGCAACTGCGCGGAGAAATGCTCACCCATTTTAGTTGCATAAGTGTAGAAATATTGCTACTGTGTATACACACTTATACTGAGGATATACAACAAATATACTGTCTATGTACATGTTGACTTAATCTTTCTATCTTCTACGTACAAGTACATACCTACCTAAGGATCATCAAAAATTGTCAGCTGTGTCTTGTACATGGTTCTGTGATCTGATCTGATCATCCCATTTTGCCATTCAAGAAAAGCGGTGCTAGCTAGCTACCATCTCATGATCTGTTACAACGTGTCTGAATTTGTTGTTCCTTCCTGTCTGATTTCCTGAATTCTTTGCCGTAGCCTTCTCCTGTGGTCGTGTATTTTCCACAACCCATGGCAAAGCACAACGGTAGAGTATATGCCGTGGGTGATCATAGGTGCAAGAATATTATCTGTCTGCCATAATAAATAGAGCAACATAATAATTTAATTATTTGTTTCTATTATTGATCGACCCGTGAAGTTCAATACACATGGGACATGGGATGAAGAGGTTATACCTGGATCCACTCAAAGCCAAGGTAGAAAGCCAAGATTCCTTCAAGAAGAGGGGAATATATCTTCCTCATTTGCCGCCTTTCATACCATGCTGAAAAATCCAAAGCTGGAGAGTTCAGTAATATATCTCTGTAGTGATGAGCATATGACTGCTACTAGTACGATTTTGCTACTGCGACTGCACTAGCTAGAACAAGACTATATATACACCTGCAAATAGTTTCTTGAGATTCTCTCGCCCAGTATTTGAACGCATTGCTGGTGTCACCACATAAGTAGGATCTGCAATCATACAAATATATCACAACATGTATATATATATGTCACACTTGGTTTCAAGAATCAATGCCACTTCCTTCCAAACAGAAAAGCATGCAAATTAGAGTCACCTTTCGGGGCAGTAGCCACATAATAGAGTGATCCTGTGAGAGCCGCAGTGATGGCTGCTGCAAACGTTTGAGCAAATGGAACAAATGGAGGCACCATGCCACTCTACACATATCAATCAGCACAGTTAAGATCAGCGCAAATATCCCAAATTCAGGACTCCATTTCCATCGAACTGAAAGCAGTAGAATTCATACCAGGGATGCAATCCCTCGAGCGTCTTTCATGAGCTCTGTGCCTCTCAGAAAAATATCAGCCAACGCACCCTACAATTTCAGTTATATTCGCTCTACAACGTGAGAATAAGGAAAAGAAAACGCATGCCAATTACTGCACAGATCATTACTGTAG